ATGTCTTTATATATATATATATATATATATATATATATATATATATATATATATATATATATATATGTGTGTGTGTGTGTGTGTGTGTGTGTGTGTGTGTGTGTGTGTGAAAATATATAGAAAATAGGAAAGAACTTGTTAGGTAAATAATCCAAAGTTCTTTGGTATTTTTGTTATTATTTTAAAAAATAGTTCTCGATACAAAAGTAGAGCATAAATATAATTATTTATTTAAAAATATGATTCCAATGCTACATAAGAGTTCTCATGATTCAAAACAAGAGCCGAAAACTTCAATATAATTATTTGAATTAAATTGAATTAAAGTACTAAACTCTGTTCCATCTTCAAGTGAATTTTTTTTTTTGGAATAACTTATTCCTGAAATTTACGCGTTTTATAAGCATATTCATAATTGAAATTAAAATTACTATGGTAACGGCTAGAGCAATCGTTCAAAGAAAAGGGGCGTAAGGCTTAATAATTTGTATCAATATCTCAGTTACATTCACAGAACGTCAAGTCAGGGTAAGGTTGGGGTGTCTAAATTTAAAGCTGAAGATGACATCGTCTAGTCTGGTTAAGTGTCTATGGAGATTGATTTATTTTTTTATTTTTATTTTCTATTTTTTTTCTGAAAGGGTTTTGTGTATATAAAAAAACTGTCATAAGTCGTTAACATTTGTTTTTTTGACGACTTCATAAAGGGTTATCTTTTTTTTTCTTTTTTTTTGTAGGGCATTTAAACTATTTATTTAGACTATGGAATTTAAAAATTATTTTATTGTTTGTTTGTTTTTATGCTAATTATTCAATTCGAAAATTTAATGATGTCGGCAAAAAACCGTTAACTCGTGTCTATTGTTTAATAGATTTTTATTATTTAGAAATTTGAACTTGTAAAACTTGGGATGACCCATGCCCTTTATGCCTACATGAAAAACTACACATTATTAAGTTTCTAAATAATAATCTAAAAAAAATATATATATATATATATATATATATATATATATATATATATATATATATATATATATATATCAGTTGAATCTGCTTGGTTTCAACCCTACGGTTCTTCAGGTGATTTTATCAAAAGACATCTTAACGCTTTATTGATTTTAAATCTAATGAACGTTATATTATTATTTTTTAAAATAAATGAACAAACGCACAACATTGGGTGTGATAAAAAGGGAGGAGAAGGATGTGAAGAAGAAGAAGAAATGTATAAATATTTTAAGACAATATTTTCAACCTTGCTAACCCGGCGCTTCTTCGTGGCCAAGTCGGTAAAGACACGTGAAGCTAAATGCCGGTTCCGTATAGGATACAGGTTCGAATCCTGTCGGAGGACGAATATTTTTGGTGAAAATTTCTCGGACATACAGGCCGGTAAATGTTATTTAATACTTTTTATTATAAACAGAGCATTTACTTAAATATTTGTATCTATAAAAAGAATGTATAAACATAAAAATGTTTTAAAATATAAATATGTGTATGTATGTATGTATGTATGTGTATGTAAGTGTGAGCATGCGTATGTATAAGTATTTACTATTTAAGCATTAACATCAATGGTATCATATATATATTCATATTGTCATCACAGCTGATCAGTGTAGGTAGGCATCCTATTGCCTCAAGACGGGATCGAAACCGGACTGATTTCGTATCAGTCGAAAATTTTAACCCTAAGCCATTGACGCATGGCACGGATGAAGGTGAATTTAGACGTATTCATTTTTAGACAAACACGCCAGTGACCGGAGAACTTGATTCAAATATTTATTGCCTAAGCATTAATATCAATTATTTATATAAAAACGTAAATAAACAAAATGCAACTTCCCTAACAACAAACTAAAATGCCCATAAATAAAAATAAAGAAAATAGGTCACATATCTAGAGCCGGAACAAAACCAGACTAAGTCTGCTACAGACAAAAAAAAAAAAAAAAAAAAAAATAAAAGGCAAAATGAGCACTACGCACAACCGTACAGACAAGCGCACGCGAACGTGCGGACAAGCGCGCGCGCACACACACACACACACACACACACACACACACACACACACACACACACACAGAGTACAAAAGAAAATTTACACCAGTGTTAAATATGTATAAAAAGGAAAAAATTGAAAAAATATAAGCAGTAAATTCCTGATACCCACTGAAGCGTAGACAGACAGTTCGATATCGAGCTCTTTATTGCAAAGATTGTTTGCCTGAAATGTCTTTTCTCTCAATACCCCATTGACTGTCAGCATTTTTAACTTTATACTTATCTTTGACATCGCTATTACCTGAAAAATTATTCTCAGTTGAGCACTTTTGCAGATTTTTGTTTTTGATTGATCACTTTTCACAGCATTCAATTCTGTATTGTATTTTCTAAAAACACAAACAAACAAAAAACAAATTACCTTACATGGAACGCACACATTTTAAATAATTACTAAAATATATACCATCATCAGACCAACCTGACTACAAAGTCAAACTAACAGAAAAAATAGAACCTTTCATGAAACGCATACGATGGAAAGTATTCTATTTCAACAACAAAGACAATGACAAATACAACAACACCGATAATACCAATAATACTGTCATCACATCAGTGAAATTCCCATCACAACAAAACGACGTTATTGCTTTGAAAATGACTTAACATAATCAATAATTTGGAAATAAGAAAATTCAACAATAATTTAAAAAAAAAAACACTTGAAAAATATCAAAAAATGATAAACAACCCCAAGAAACTATTTATAAAAGCAGATAAATCCAGAATAATTTATAAAATGGAAACCAACAATTACAATAAACAAGTTGATAAAGAAGTCACTAAATGTTACAATGCCACTAATAACGAAACAGAAAGAAACAAAGAAGCTAAAAACCACTAAACTAAAATTAAACAATAGGATAAATCAATTAGCAAAATTAAAACCATTTATTAAATTAAAAGATCAAATGAACATGCGGATCAGTAAACTCCACAAAAAAGCAATATTGGGAAAATAGACAAATATTAGAAAAATATGCTTAAAACTAAGAAGTATACTAAACATAAATCAATGAAAAAATACTAAAGCCACAATCAATTGTTTCAATAACATTAGCAACAAAGAAAAATGCTCCTTTATAAAATTAGACATTTTTTTCCCATGTATTAATGGACATACACTAAAAACGCATTAATCTTAGCAAAACAATACATCAATATCCCAACTGAGGACATAAATCTAATTAAACACTGCCGAAAATCAATATTATACTACAATAAAAAAATATAGACAAAAAAGGGCAATAATAATAATAACAATGAGTAGCTATGATGGCGCAGAAGTATGCGAACTCATAGACATATACATAATCAATAAATTAACAAATATTATTAATGAAAAGATATAAGCCTATACTAGAACTACAGAAAAAATAAAAAAAATAATAAAAAAATCCCTCTAAAACCCTAGGATTTACAATACATATAAATCCAATCAAAAATAGTAAATTTCGTAGATATAACATTCAGTCTAAACAATGGAGCCTATAAACCATACATAAAAACCAAACAACAACCATTTATACATTAACAGCAATTCTAGCCATCCTTTAACGTATTTAAACAAATAGCCATATCTATAAATAAAAGAATTTCAACAAATTCTTTTAGCCTAAAAATATTCACTGAAAATAAAAAAAAAACATACGAATTAATCCTAAAAACAGTCGATATTCAAACAAACTAGAATACAAAAACGAAAATATTTCAAACAAAAACAGAAAAAGAAATATAATTTGGTTTAACCCCCACCCTACAACAATGCAATGAAAACAAAAAATAGGGAAAATATTCTGCAAAAGCATTGACTGACACTTCCTTAAAAACAGCAAATTGTCAAAAATTACCAAGAAAAATACAGTCAAATTTAGTTACAGCTGCTTGGATAACATGGAGAAAATAATAACTAAGCATAATAAAAAAAAATCAACAAAACCAATGACAATTACAACAATAATAACATGCAGCAAAATGACGCCATTAAATGTAACTGCAGTAACAAAGAAAATTGCTTGTATAACAATAAATGCTTCAGGGGTATCAGCATTTTACTGCTTATATTTTTTCAACTTTTTCCTTTTTATACATATTTAGCTCCGGTGTAAATTTTCTTCTGTATTCTCTATCCTTGTATGCGCGCTCGTTTACGCCATATATCTATGGCATCTTTCTAGAAGATCCTTATTAGCCTTATCAAAGCAAAGCTTGCGCCACTTCTGATCTATCTACCTATCTCTCCCGATTTTCTTATATCTATCTATCTATCTATCTATCTATCTATCTATCTATCTCGATTTGCTTATATCTATCTATCTATGACATCTTTCTAGTAGATCCTTATCAGCCTTATCAAAGTAAATCATAATATAATTGCGCCCCAAAATGCTTCCTGTTCACCCCAATGCCCGCGGAAAAGTTTCTCAATAGTAAATTGTTATGGGGTCCACCCTTTTCGGATATAATGGACTCGTCCTGCTGCCATAAAATAGCCACAGTCAGGCAGAGAAGAGGAGTCGTACATGAGTCGTACCGGAGTCGTAGGGTGTCGGATGGAGAAGTAACCTCTTGTAGAAGTCAGTTACAAGCACGTAGACTCTAAGGAAGTCCTACTTCGAGACTGGATATATCTATCTGTATTTGCTACTAACCGTGTTCCTGGATTTTACTAACAGCATTACCTTTTGTATTTTGTGTAAATACATTTAATTTCTTAGCTTAAATACTTGCGTTTGTCATTTATTGGCTACCTATTTTTCACGCGGGATCCACAACATAAATAAATAGTCTTCTTTATTTTTCAATTTTGTAAACGAAGCAATTTCTTTATTTCACGAGAAAGTGCATTTCAAAATCCATTCTACCTCTTCCCAGTTAAATGTACCTCTTCATTATACATTAGTGCCAGGTTTATTTTGCTTTTATCAACAAGTTGATAGTTTATTGAAAGCATCGTGGAAAGTAGAAAAATCAAGGTTCGTCATGATATTGGCGCGGTTCCCGGCAATTTTATTCTGTTCGAACAGACTGCTTTGACCCATTGCAACACTGAAAATGGTGACCCCGTCAGAACGAAGACTCTGGGCTGCTACATCCGTCTCATACAAATCGTCGGAATTTCCGCCGGTAATAACGACCACAACTTTTTTGCCGCCTCCATCGGCAAAAGAATTCAATTTCGCAAAGTTCAACGCTTTTGCTGTGTCTGTTGATCCTTGCAGCCGGCCGACACCTTCGAGGGCGAACAATAAAGATGTTCTGTCAGTGTGCAGACCTAAAGGAAAGTTTAAATGCGGTTGTGCGGCAAATGACACAACTGACACACGAATAGTTGTAGGTCCGACATTTTCGGCTGTTACAAATTGTTTGATGAAAATGATCGCTTTTTGGAAGTCGGTTTGTGTTGTGCTGTCCGAGGAGTCAATAAGGAAGACGACGTCGACCATCCCGTTTGAACAAGTGGCTAAAAGGCAATAAAAACAAAAGAAAGTATTAATTTACGTTAATATACAGAATGTAACAGCAAAATTGTTCAAATCGTGTAACATCATTGGATAATTGTCTGTCCCACAAAATGTTTAATACCTAAAAAAAAAAAAGAAGAAAAAAAAAACTAATTGAGTTTCTTTTTTCCAGGTTTTCAGATAAAACGTTTAGCCATCATGACACCATTTGTTTAAAGAATCACTGAAAACTCTTTGAGTTATTTAGCTAGAAAGAAAACAGGTTAAAATCGTTTTGTGTCAGCTCCATTATGTCTTCCCAACTGAGCAATAGTGAGATGAAAAAGTTCATTCAGTTCTCCAGTAATGGTACCAGCATTCATACTCTAGTTTCCATCTTCAAAATCCATCAAGAGAACTGTGAATAGGTTTTAAAAAAGATAGAACAGTAGAAAGGAAAAGTTTATCACAAAAGGGAGAGGGATGATCACTTCAACTTAGAGCTAACTACATTCTTATTATTCAAACTAGAGTCCAATAGTGTTATAAAAACCTCGGAGAATTCCAGTAAGATATCTTTAATCATTTCTAAGATACAACGGTTCAAAGCTTAATCTAACAGTTGGACAATTTTGCTGTTACATGATTTGGACAATTTTGCTGTTACACGATTTGGACAAGTTTGCTGTTACGCACAGTATATACTTATTATTATTATGATTTGTCATCTCTGTTTATCATTTTTTTTTTAAACATATAAGATTAATATCAACCGGCGTAGATCAATCATAAATGAAAATAAAGCGAGCAGATATAGATTCGAGAGAGTCTCAACGATAGATGTGCATTCCTTTAAGAAAGTAATTGAGCCTTGCATCATATTAACGGTTTCCAGTGGCCGAACTGGTAACAACTATAGGAGTGTTTTTTTCTCTGATGAAAAAGGGGATACATGTTTGATTCTTGTTGGGGTGGCACATTTGACCGTAGTAGGACTTCTTGACCTAAGCCGGTTGTTATTAATTTAACTGTTTAATAAAATAAGAAATAAATATCAGCTCAAACATAAATACCCATTAAAAATAAAGAAATATCAACTCAAACACGAGTACCCATTAAAAATAAAGAAATAATAACTCAAACACGAGTACCCATTAAAAATAAAGAAATATCAACTCAAATACGAGTACCCATTAAAAAAGTTTATACTAATAATAAATACTGTCGGATTAATAAATTATAATAGCAACCGACCTAGACCGAGAAGTCTGACTATAGAAAGGAGCCTGCCAATATTTTTCTTCAGTCGGACTTTTCGATTGAGGCCCGTTGTTATTAATTTCAATGTTTAAGAAAGTAAAAAAAAAAAAAAAAATAAGGATATCGATTCGAATATGTTTACCAACTAAAAATAATGTCTATCGCAATAAGAAATAATGTCGCCTTAATAAAGGAAACGATTAAAAAATGCACACGTACACACACATACACATATAATATTGCCTTCAAGCATGAAACCGACTGTCACAATTCGATGTAGATTATATTGTCCGCTCAAACACATACACAAACACTCACAGTTATATATATATATATATATGTGTGTGTGTGTGTGTGTGTGTGTGTGTGTGCGTTAGGTACCTCCAATAATTCGCTCAAAAAAGAGCATAGCATGATGAAAAAGACTCCAAACTTAATAAAAACAAAGGTTTATTGTTAAAGTGTTTATTTTTTTTTACATCTGTTACCATCGACCTTACTTAATGAAATTTCAAGAAATTAAATTTTGTCTCGCTTCATATTTGTATTAGTTAAAAGCAGAAGTCCTTGGAGAATGTAAGTCATCAATTTTTTTTCAAACACTAACTCATTTACCGAAAATCTGCTCTGAATCCTAAAATAAAAAAATGCTATCAAACTAAGTCATTATTTAATTAGAAAAGCTTTTAATTGTTTTTATAAATAAAATATATTATAATAACTATTGTCTTAAGAAAAAACTTTTTTCGATGAATAATGAATTTTTGCAAGAATTGCTTTCTTTTTATAAAAAAATTTAGTTAGACTATTAGTCTAATTAAATTTTATAAAGTTTTAAATCTTTAAATTTTTGCATTAATTTGAACGGGTTAAGTGATATTATTGTTAAGTAAAAACTATATTTACTAATCATAAATTTATTTCCTATTACACGTCATTATCAGAAAATAAGAGAGAGAGAGAGAGAAGTATAGTAAATTTCCAGCCAAAAATATCTAAAATTCAATAAAACATTAGATTACAGAGAATATTTTTTTTTGATTTTTAAGTTTACTGAGCACTTATATTTATATTTATATTCTAAATTATATATAAAAGGCGCTCACGTTAATTCAATTTCTTTTTAACGCCTAAAGCTTCCATAGAACATTAGATAAATATCAGTCTATCATCAAACTGTCAAACGACTTAAATAAACAGCTACTGTCTGGTAAAAAAACGCATTTTTACGATATTTTAAACTTTAAGTAAATAATATGTGTTTCAAATAAGATTAGTTATACTTTAAATCAGCTAATATTCCTCAAATAAATTGGCAGAAAAGTATATTTTAATTTTGGAAGATATTTTAATAAAGAGAACTACATTGTGATGAAAGACAACTAAAAAAGGCGCTAATCAGGTATTTTAGAAAAAAAATTCCTTCCACCTAAATTAAATTAGTTTTCGAAATACAGCAAAGTATTTTGCTTCTTGTAAATATTGAATTGAATCTATTAGCTTGAAATTAAAACTAAAATAAAAGCTTCAAATAGATTTTTTCATTTTCAAAAATTCATACTAAACATTTGGTATCTTTTTTTTTGAGGTAGCTAATATATATATATATATATATATATATATATATATATATATATATATATATATATATATATATATAAAGAATTGGTGAGTTCATTTTTAATCGGATATTCTTACTTCGTATTTGAAATGGACGCCTCATTCTTATTTTTTTATTTTAAACAGTAGTTCTATCGGTCTGCGCCCTCGAAAAGCATTAACAAAGAAAATATGCTCTTCAACAGGGTTCGAATAAAGGAGAAATCACGCAGAGGGACGCGGGTTCGATCTCGACTGGAGGGCACATTCTCTTTATTAAGATTTCTAGAAGGATTAGGCCGATAGATGCAATACACACTATTTAAAAAAATGAGCATCTATTTCAACTAAGAATCTACTATGATAATGTTTGAAGTAATAATAATACACACATACAGACACACACACACACACACATATATATATATATATATATATATATATATTGGAGGCATGGGAGAGTGATGAACTGCGGTTCATATTGAAGAATACGAGAGCCGAGTTCGAATTCCATTCGAATTTATTACATCACGTCTTACTATCCTTGAATCAATCTCGTCTCCCACCAGCTAAGGGTAAATAGTTGGACAGACTGGATTCTATGTTTCCCTGTACCAAAAGGTAATAAACTTGTTGTTAAACCAATTCTAGTTTTCTACTGTTGTTTTTGATAACTTAGTTACAATATGTAGCTCGCAGGAAATCTACAGTTCATGCCTTTCAAAAGATAAGAGTTTAGGATGGCAATTACAACAAATGATCAGTTTTCTCTGCGTAGTTTAACTGACAGTCCATCTAAACTTCTTTGAAAGCGTCATGTCCTTTCAGGGCGTGAGAGATCATGGCTCTCCACAACTAAATGATTTTATAGGAGAAACCGTGGTTAGATCCCAAGTGTTCTAGACCGACTCAGCTAGGGAGTGAGTCGCCGATCAAGCAAAGCTGAATTGTGCCTTATAAACGTAAATTCTTCCCAGATTCTCGAAGCTTCATATCTGCTCAGTTTCGTATTCGAAGCTTAAAGTAATTTCTAAAAAGGTAATGGATATTTTATTTATTAATCCGACAGATTTTATCACTTTAAACTTTATTTTAGTAGATAGCCATATTTGAGAAAAATATTCGAGGTGTTGAATCTGATCATCCGAAATCTGTTTTTGATAGACTGAATGGAATTTCGCTATTCTAAATGCCTACTCTAGAGCAAGGTACAAATCTATCTCTTCCCCTCACCCAACTATAAATAGCGGGACAGTCTGGGTTCTATAGTCTTGGGTGGCTAACAGTCTAGGAGAAGGACAACTCTGAATTCAAAAGCTGCCGAGGGTCGTTTGGGGACCTTGTGGAATACTCTGCCCCAGTTCTCCGCATTCGGCTCGGCTCTTCTAAAAAGTTTGGTTGGTTCTACACAAGCCTTCAAGCAATAATCAAATGATTTATGCGGGTGGTCTGACTGTTGGTTCTAAGAACTGAGCTGCTTGACCCTCATATATATATATATATATATATATATATATATATATATATATATATATATATGCGTAAGATAAGATATATAAGAACTGACGATTGTCTGACGATCGCCAAAACGTGAAACCCAGGGTCACAAACTCACATCAATCCAACTAAATATGTTAGCTCTATCTCTGATATTGAGCGCTTTCCAATAAGTACTGCGTATATAATATATTAATAATATATATAATATATTGCATGTATATATATATATATATATATATATATACATTTCATATATATATATATATATATATATATATATATATATATATATATATATATATATATATATATATATATATATATATATATATATAATATGACTCAACATTCTCAGTCAAGCCGCTATTCATTACTTATCCGTGCCTCCATATCCAAATGTAAATCTATATCTCATTTTATACATCACATTTCTCTCCTTAAAATTTAAGAAATAAATTCTACTTACGTTTTTTTCTTTCGCACACCATCTGGAAGACTTTCTTTTCAATCTTCGACAAAGCATCAAATCTGGAAATCGAGAAGACGTTTTCCTTTTTTCCGGCCATCATCAAGAGCTCCGAATAGGAAACTGATTTCCCGATGCCAACAGTGAACACTTCCACTCCCAAAGTGTGAAGATCTCG